AACTCTAGCGCTTGGTCTGTCCACCGCCACTCCGTCTTGGTCTTCTTTTCTTCTCGGTTGGCGTTCCATAGCGTTCCCATCCAGAGTGAGAGAGTCTTACTCTAGCCCGCTGGCCACTCCATGTACACTAGCCAAAGCCACCCCGGGCCCCGGGATGGACGGGGTGGGGAATAGTCGAAATTGCATCCTCCGCCGCGTTTGCTGTGGTGAAACGGCCAGGGAGATTTGACCAGCCCAGGATCGTGTGCAATCGACTTACACGCACATACGCCCATCCAGATTACAGAGAGGGGTTACTCCGTACGTACAGAGTAAGGAACCACATACTCTATTGGGTCCTCGTCTAGCAATCTAGCCCTGTCGTCCTCGACTCCTCTCTGCCTGTCTATGACTGACACTGACACCGCGACGGCGGTGCTCTCCCGAAATCTCCAGAGACTAGAGTCCACACACCCCCCTTACCTGATGCTGGTCTATGCTGGCCATGTTGGTGGTAGTGGTGGTGCGGGTTCCCAATATGGGCAACATGGGGATCTTGTTGAACGGCTCCATTCGCACCATTGTCTTCTTTAAATGGAGGCAAACACCGCACCTCCCAGCTAGACACCAAGGCTTCCTCTCTTCTCTTCTTCTTGCGATCAAGGGATTGTTGACCATCTCCTTGCCCCAACCGACATTCTTTTTCCAGACATTCGTTCATTCACTCATTCAAACAAAGGCTCTAGTCCCTTTCACAAAGCTACCAAACGAAACATACACGATCATTTACTGAACTTTGAAAGTTCCTGAACTGCTATATACAACCAGCAAACATGCGTTTCTTCTCCGTCCTCGGCTTCGCGGCCGCGGCCGTTGCCCAGCTGACGTCGTCTTCCCTCGAGAAGCACGTCGATACCGCCACCATCAAGTCCTTCAACCCCATCAAGGAGGCTTACTGGACCGGTCTTCCTCACCACCGCCGCACCCCCTTCGCCGTCTCCCCCGACGGAAAGTCGGCCTGGCTCGCGTATCTCGACTCCTCCGAGACGGGCGTCCACGTCCAGCAGATCGACCCCACCACCTTCGCCGCCACCGGTGACCCCGTCACCGTCTCTGGTGGTAAGGAGGCCGCCGGTCTCGTCGCCCACAACGATGGTTTCGCTCTCATGACCAACGAGGTCCTCTCCGGCTCCGGCACCGACGTCGCCATCGCTGTTCTCTACCGCTACACCACCGGCAAGACCGAGCCCACCTTCAAGACCTGGCTCGGCGGCCCCAACGTCGACGGCAGCCAGGCCATGGCCTCCCCCGACGTCAACGGTGACCTCGTCTTCTCCGAGAAGGCCGGTTACTACGCTGCTTACATCGTTGTCACCGCTTACCAGGGCGATGCCACTGGTCACTTCGGTGATGCCATCCGCTACGTCGACACCGCCGGCAAGCTCACCTCCATCGCCGGCGCCTCCTCCAGCTGGGGCTGCTCCCACAACACCGGTATCGCCTTCGAGGCCGCTGACGCCGCTCCCTTCGCCTCCATCTGCGCTGAGGACCAGGGTGCCATCTGGCTCAACACCAAGTCCCAGGGTATGACCAACGACAACGTCAAGATCTCCAACGAGCACGTCATCAACGGCGGTGCCAACGAGGCCATGGGCGGCATGTCCGGCTCCTACTCCAACCTCGCCCGCTTCATCGGTGCCGACTCGTACATCTTCTCCTGGGTCTCTCGTGGCGCCATGGACTTGACCGAGAACTCGTGGATGGGCTCCGGCTACACCACTTCCAAGAACCGCACCAACAACCGCAACGTCGCCATCGCCCTCTTCTCCGACAAGAACACCCTCGTCGGCTCTCAGGCTACCTCCGTTGCCGGCACCGCCGACGGTGACTCCCAGATCAACTGGATGACCTCTGGCTCCAACGACTGCTCCAACGCCCACGCCGCCACCTTTGACTCCTCCAAGGCCCTCGTCACCTGGGAAGAGATCTCTTCCCCCACCTGCGCCTTCGACGCCATGGGCTGCCAGGGTACCTTCGCTGGCACCAAGTTCCAGATGGTCGGCAGCGACGGCAAGAAGATTGGTGAGGTCCTCAGCTCCGACGACACCTACGTCGCCGGCGACATGGTCACCATGTCCGACGGCCGCATCTGCTGGCCCTACGTCTCCATGACCTGGAAGCTCGACGGCCCCGTCACCGGCTCCCCCGTCACCAAGATGTCCTTTGCCTGCATGACTGGTGGCGCTGGCTCCGGCACCGCTTCCTCCGCTGCTCCCGCTTCCTCCGCTGCCCCTGCCACCAGCGCCCCCGCCGTCGCTTCTTCCTCCGCTCCCGTCGCCGCCGCCCCCTCCACTACCGAGGCTGTTGACGCCGTCGCCACCAGCGCCGTGAACTCCGCCGACCCCACCTTCGCCTCCGGCACTGCCCCCGAGCCCATCTTCGAGACCATCTCCGGCCCGGCCTACACCCCCTCCGCTTCCGCCCCTGCTGCCGTCCCTACCTCTTCCCAGGCTGCCTCCGTCCCCGCTGAGGCCCCCGCCTCTTCTGCCCCGGCTGCTTCCGCCTCTGCCCCCTCCGGAGCTCCCATCCCCATCTTCGAGACTCTGTCCCAGGCCCCTGCTTCCTCTGCCGCTCCCGTCCCCGGCACCACCGTCTCCGAGGCCAAGCCCGAGCTCACCGCCACCCCCTCCGGCGCTGCCTCCAAGACCAAGAAGACTCGCACCCGCACCAAGACCCGCGGTCCCAAGCCCACTGGTGCCCCTGCCCACAGCGGCAAGTGCAGCACCCGCACCACCATCAAGACCGTCTACGTCACCGCATAAATGAGTAGATGATCTGGTGCAAACCTACCTTGTGGGGATGATGAAAAAGAGGTTGATTCGAGAGGAGAGTGTAAGAGAGACGGAGTTTGGGAGTAGCAGCATTGAGTACATCTCTTCAGCAAGGTGAAGAGAGTGTAGCTCGATGAGTTTTCATGTACATACTATGTACGACTTGTACACAAATTTCCCGCCTCGCATCTTCTTTTCCCTTGCTCATCCGCTTAGATCGAGGGAATACGAAGAGCGAGTCAAGGCCACTGGCCGATTTTGAGCAAAATTGAACAAAGACTCAGTTCATCATCGGCAGTATTCCGGCGCGCCTCCCAATTTGCTTTTTACGTTCGTGTGCCATGTCCTTTATTTTGCGGGCCTCTTAGTCCCAAGTGAGCAGTTGACTAGGTCAATTATAGACATGACCGAAAGCGACGCGATGAGATGCGAGAAATTCGGAATCCGGCAGGTGAGTGTTATGGAAAAGCCATGTGATGAACATGGAAGATGAGTCGTGCGCAGTTGTGAGAAACGATGGGGGGAAGAAGAAGAGGGAAATGAGAACCAAACAGTGAGCGACGACCTCGTTGAGATCAAAGCGGCACCTTAACACTGATGCTAACGGCCAGTTCCGAACCAATAGACCCGCCGATGGTCTTCATAAGCAACCGATTGTAGACAAGAACCAACTAAAGTTGCAATCCTCTCTTTGTCAGCAGCCAGATGGACACCAAAGACCAGAGGGATTCCTCTCAGAAATCACATTCCTACCAACGGATACCAACGGTCAACTTGTCTCAGTTGAAGCTAGTCCTGACTTTCTCTCTCCCAAGGATCGAAAGAAATAAGAGGCGGCCTAAACACCCACGAATGGGCAGACCAGCGGAGCCACATGGCGATGATGGCACGGGATAAACCCTGTCACACATCCTGCTGGCCTCAGGGGCGACCATCTGTCAGACTGTAAGGTACCGCGCTGCGACGAATCGACGATAACGGACCGCCATTGGGGGCCGCTCCCCTACCCTAAAAGAGCAAGAGGAGTAAAAGCCAACAGTCATGACAGGGTAGCATCAAGCCAATGACAATCAACATGTGGACTTTTACGTCCTAATTGGGCGGTTCTATCCGAGCTAGAGAGAACGGAATCCCCATTAAGCCCTTCTTCTCATCGATACATGGGAGATCATCAGGGGACCAGTTGAGTTTCGATGATCAACAAGGGATCCAATGACCGCGCATGCTCGGCATTTGAGCTTAACCCGTGTTGGTCTCTTTGGGAATAGAATCGAGTCCTGAGAAAAGGATCCCGTCTTCCCCCTCTCCCTGGTAGGACCCTGACTCTTGTCCCACCTGATTCCTACCTGACGGCGCATCGTCCGTACACGGGCAAGACTCCATGAGTCCATCACCAACAAAGGATGTATCTGGCCGAAAGCGTGCCTTTCGTGCTGTCATCCCCCTGGGGGAAGACGCGCGGAGCCCGTCAGCGGCATTGTTCCCAAGAGTCCAAGACACGTTGTCCGGCTATCATAGCCGTCCTCGACGAGAGGATGAAGAGGGCAGCGCGTTGGTTTCCTCCACCTCCGGACAGTATCCGGCAATATCCAAGACCATGTGGCCGTGGGAATAACCTAATCGAGTGGCTGCTAATCCGTCAACGTTGCATTTCATTGAACTACCAATCGCCTCTGTCTCCTTCATCCTGCACTAACGACCCCTGCCATGGAGACGAGAGCCAGATAACCTCGTAGGCTCGTAGCCCGAATAGGCGGCATCACACCATCTTTCGGCTGCGTTTCCCCTCGTCCAGTCGTGCTTGAGATGCGCTCCCCGAAGTTCGAGGATACCTTGCTCGGTTTCCGTCCCGGCAGCTGCGCCATTGCCGACACACCAATCTGATCTGGCATATGGCTAATCCTCCTTGGGTAAGGATAAGGAGAAAGCAAGGCATGCAGATAGAGACGATGGAAGGAGAGAAGAGACAAGCGGCCACCTTATAAGGCCTAGTGGCCGCCTCTCTTGTCGAGTCTCACGATGTTGAAGCTGTAGGCATCTCGTCGGTGATTCCGCGCTCACCAAGTCACTCTTTGAACATCAGCCAGGCCAGCTTCGTTGCTGTGCGTCCTCTCATTTCCCCAACGACATTCGTTCTGAATACCCAACACTCTTTGGTCCTCCTTGACCTTGTTCTTCGATACCCTCATCATGGTTCGCTCAAGTGTAATCGGCCGTTTCCTGGCCGGACTGCTGCTTGCTTCCGGCGCAGCAGCTCATACCGAAGGGTGCAGCTGCTCATCTGATGGCATCCAGCGCGTCACCTACATTGTCGTCGAGATGCCCGATCAGCCCGAACAAGCAGCCTCCTCCTCGTCCTCTTTCACAACCCTAACCACCGTCCCGACGCCAACGTCCACGGAGAGGTTCACCGCGCAAGCAGCGCACGTAATCGAGGATATCCCAGCCTACGAGCCCCTCGCCGTCAAGCCCGAGACCCTTCGTCCAGCTGTAAACACAACACACACCTTTGGCGCCACCGCCGCTCCCGGCATCGACACCAAAGACCCCATCAACATCGTCCCGGCCACAAATGTCTCGCTCTACTACGCGGCCACGGACACGGAGGAACAAGGTTCCATCGACATGAAGCTCGCATTCAAGAACCCCGCCGTGGTCCTCGAGCATGTCGACGCCGTCAGCAACGTCGCGTGCGGAGATGACGAGCTCACCGTCTCCTTTTCCTCCGCCGACGCCTTTAACGAGGCTGTCAAGGACTGGTCCGACTCTGCCGAAGAAGGATTTATCCTCATCACCAACCACATGGGCAACTGCGATGCCGAATTTGAACGGGGCTTCTTCCTCGCAACGGGCTTGACCTCCAGCAAGGGCGACCTATCTATCACGGTCGCAGCTTCAAAGGAGGAGCTCACCAACATCGCCGGCGAGTGCGAAATGTCCTTCACTTCCCTGCCGGCTGCCACGCTCTCCAAGCGCCTCACCCTCGACCCGTCCGTCTCCCTCTCCTTCGCCGAGGGCATCGCCGAGAACACGGTCCTTTATAGCGACGGGCAGTACGTCAACATCACGGCCGACGAGGCCTGGTTCAGCTCCAAGATCACCTTCTCCGGCTACCTAAAGTACAACTTCTGGGGCTTCAAACTGCAGGCTCTGTACTTTGACCTAGACACGACCTTTGACTCGGCCGTTGGCGTCTCGGTCGACGTCGCCGCCTCCTACAGCCACGCGCTCAAGTACGCCCCGGACGCGTTATCCTACTCCCTCGTATCCGTCCCCGGTATCGTCGAGCTCGGTCCGGGCGTGGCTTTCGCTGTGGGCTTAGACTTTGACGTCTCTGCTGCCGTCGGCGTCACGGCGGGGCTGAGCGTGAGTCTGCCAGCGGGCAACGTTCATCTCGACCTCCTGCACGGGGAGAAGTCGTCGGCGAGTGGATGGGAGCCAAAGTACAGCAGCTACGCCAACATCACCGAGTCGGCTGATGTGCGCGTCGACGCCTCAGCGGACGTTACCGTGCAGCTGGCGTTCAAGTTGCTCGGCGGACTGGTCGATCTCAGCTCCGGCATCACGGCGACGCCAGGGTTCGATAACGTGTTCAAGCTGCGCGGGGAGCAGAATCTGGGGGTCAGCGGTAGCGTTGGCGGCAGCAGCAGCAGCAGCACTATCGGGGGCGGTAACTTTACGAGTAAGCCGGCCGAGGTGGCACAAGTTAGTGTGGATGTGCCCAAGGACGGGTTGATCTGCGCCGAGAAGAATGGGGTCGAGTTTGCGACGGACTTCTACTTCAACTTGACTGGCTTCGCAACAAAGTGGTGGAGCGGCGAGCTTTACAGTACCCGGGTGCCGCTTTGGGATCTGTGTTACAGCTTCTGAGGTGCTTCACACCAGTGGTGACGTGCTCTTGGCATGTCTTACGACTTCCCCTTTCTACATTCATGATGTATACTAAATAGTACCTTAATACCTATTTACCTTGTTCGTACTTACGCAGTATGGTGGGACTCCTGTTCAAGGGTCTCTAAGTTCTTCTTCTTGCTTTACGCAAGAAAACTGCATGAAATCATCGAGTTATGTCCACGTCTACTTTTCATCGAAGACTCTCTCAATGTTGCTCAAGCCTAACCACGAACGCAGACTTCGATGGCATAATATGGGTCTACGATGAGTATATGCCGCACCAAGACGTGATCAACGCGGGTTTCGCAGACGATCACGAGTTCCAGAGCCACAGAAAGCGAGCGGCAGATGCGAGGGGGATTCCAAGAATAGACGCCCCTCTACTTGGGGGCGGGGAGAAAGACAAGAACCCGACGTGATCTGCCGCCCGCCTCTCAAAAAAGAACGAAGACCGAAACCGGGACGGAAAAGGAGCCTGGTCTTGGTTCAACTCCCGGCCCAAGATGATTGGGTCCGGACTTGAGGTGGAATCTTCCCTCACTGTCAAGGACACTCGAGTCGATCGTTCGGAATAGTTCTCAAACCCCCACAATCCACCATCACATCAGTCGAGCCGCTGGCTGGACCTCTGTGGCCCCTCCCTCCTCCCCGCCGCTCCGGCCCAGGGTTGTGGTTCCCCCCGTCCACTGTAAATCAAGCTTACTATGGTGATATTGGAGCTTATTTGCTGTTAATGTTTAAAAAATTCTTATTCCTCCTAGGCCGTGCTCTCTTTACCCCCTTTTTCTTCTATGTGGTGAGGTTGTGTACCGGGGTGTGGTGTTTCAGGAGTCTGACATCCCGAGTTACGGATGGCACATGACGTTTATTCGTCCATCGGATGAGCTGGAAGAACTTGGGTTGAGCGTCACCTAACAACTTTGAGTTGGCAGTCTGACAGCCAAGGGGAACCCCAGACGGACGTTTTGGAGGTGGGCTTGGCGCAGTGCGTGTTGAGCTTTTTCTGTCTTTGCTCATAGTTCAGATGGATGTTGTCAACCTGAGCAAACTTGCCAAGAGTATTTGACGTGGTAGTTGAAGGAATAGAATGCCCCTTTGGCCAAGACTTAGCCAAGACCTTTTTCTGGAGGGATGTTGAGACAAACCGAACTCCTGAGACTGCTGAAATGCGACTCCGCGAAACTTTTGTGGAGCAGTCTCCGTGGTGGAGCTTTGAATGTCAACTTCAGCCAAGACCAACCCACAACCTTTCCGCCATCAACAACAAGGGCTTCAATTTGCCTGTCACTTTGACGGTCACTTCGCCATAATACACCGAGGCGCCGGGGAGTTTAGACGTTGGAGGAAGGGTCGATCTGAGAGGCCGCTCCGAGAGTCTGGCACATGCCATGGTTAGAGAATGGTGACTCGGATCCGTTGATCCAATGGTGGTTTGTTTCACGAGGGTTCTTCCCTGAGGCTCATGGGATGATGGTATTGGCATCATACTCCATGGTCCGTCACATTGTGACCCACGGGCGGCTGGAGTTCAGCGCAAGAATACCAGATGATGGCGCAAAGACAGGGGGAACATATGGGGTAGGCAGACCTTAATTGTGAGGTGAAATCGACTGGCAAGTTGGGATATAAAGCATGGCTTCTTGGCCGCTGGTGATAACGATTACTCTACTTCTTCACCCTCACCTCAGTCCATCCATCACCAAGCTCTTCTCCTTCTCCTTTTTCCCTTGAGCCAGTCTCATTCTCTTCAACACTACTCGGGCAGTAGTTGTTCTTTCACGTGTACTTTATTCTCTTTCCATTCTCACCTTCTCTTTACTACCATATCTCTCTCTTCTCCCTACACTTCAATATGAAGTTCTCCACAGCAGCCATTGCCCTTCTAGCCGGCGTCGTCGCCGCGGCGCCCGCCTCCGAAGTCTCACGCAGCCGCGAGCGCCGCGCCGGAGGCAGCGAACTCATCCAGCAGCTCCAGTCCACCTTTGACCGCAATAACCCGAACGGCACCCCCGCCGCGGCCGGAGACCCGGACGACCTCAACGGTGATGGTGTCATCAACGTCTTCGAGGCAGGAGCCCAAGCCAGCAAGCGTAAGCGCGGTGGTGGCGGTAACGGTGGCCAGCAGGCTGCTGGTGCCGGTGCTGGGGGCAATGGTGCCCAGGCCAAGGGTGGCAATGCCGGCGGTAACGCCAACAACCAGAACAATGCCGGCAATGCTGCGGACGAAGAGGACGCCGCGGCTGGCAACGGTGCTGCCGCTGACGACGGGGAAGATGCAGCTGCCGGTAACGGCAATGCCAATGCAGGCAACGGAAACGCGGCCGCAGACGATGAGGATGCGGCTGCCGGCAACGGCGGCGCTGCTGCGGATGACGAAGAAGACGCTGCTGCTGGCAACGGCAATGCCGGTAATGCGAACGCCGGTAACGCCAATGCTGGAGCCGGCAACGCGAAGGCTGGCAAGAACAAGAACGCCGGTAACGGTGCTGCCAACAACGCTGGCAACGCCAACAATGCTGGAAATGCTGCTGCTGGCAACGGTGCTGCCGCTGACGACGAGGAGGACGCGGCCGCCGGCAACGCTGGCAATGCCGCCAACAACAACAACGCAGGCAACGCAGCCGCCGAGGAGGATGCCGCAGCTGGAAATGCCAACGCCGGGAACGCAAACGCCGGTAATGCCAACGCTGGAGCAGGAAACGCAAAGGCTGGCAAGAACAAGAACGCCGCCAACGGCGCTGCCAACAACGCCGGTAACAATGCCGGCAACGCCAACAACAACAACAACGCTGGCAATGCGGCTGATGAAGAAGACGCTGCCGCTGGCAATGCAGGCAACGCCGCCGATGAGGAAGACGCCGCCGCTGGAAATGGCAACGCTGCTGCCGATGACGAGGATGCTGCTGCCGGCAACGGAAACGCGAACGCAGGCAATGCGAACGCTGGAGCTGGAAACGCAAAGGCCGGCAAGAACAAGAATGCTGGCAACGCCAACAACAACGCCGGTAATGCCGGCAATGCCGCCGATGAGGAGGACGCCGCGGCAGACAACGGAAACGCCGCTGATGAAGAAGATGCTGCCGCCGGCAACGGCAACGCTGCTGACGAGGACGCCGCTGCCGGTGGCGCCGCGAACAACGGGACTGCCAACGCCGGCGCTGCTGCCGGCGGTGCTGGTGCGGGCAAGGCTAACAAGGCGAGCAAGGCCAAGGCCTCTCGCAACGGCCGCTCTCTCAACCTCTACGCCGCGCGCAACATTGCGCGCGGCCGTCCCTCCCGGCGCACGTAACTTCTCTTGGGGTGCTGAGGAGTCTGTCTTTCATGCCGCTGCTGGTGGTAAAGGGGACTCTGATGACCTAGACAATCCCAAAGGCGCCGGTGATGACTCTGAACAGACTGGTGGGCCAAAGGGCACAGGCAAAGGCAAGGGCAAGGGCAAGAACAGGTCGAAAGGCAAGTCTTCGTCGTATTCGTCTAGGAAAGGCGACGAGGGCGGAAATGGGCCTGGGAAGGGTGGCCGACCTGATCGGTCTGGCGATGGCCTCAGGGTGGAAGAAAGTCCCGCAATGATCGGTCGCCCTGATGGTCCTGGGTCTGGGCTTGGATTTGCTGAGTTGTCCGAGTTTTTTGAGATTCGGTGTGATGAGTGAAGAAAATAAAATGGTAATTTAAAACTGGCGTAGCGTTTTCTTGGTCGGTAATGTGAGGGAATACCTGTCTTTACAGTTCTATACCTAATTCAATGAGATGGGGTGATACCATTAATCGAGTACGAGCCGATATGTGCCAAATGTCGCCTAATGCCTATTGGCGTGGTTATCTCAAGATTGAGTAGAAGATGGCTTACATGAAAGGGTCATGTTGGATCTCTGGAATAGGGACATGCATGGAGTCAGCGTTTGACCAATTGAAATCTTAGTCGCTAAGCTACAATTGAGGCCACTCTAATTTGTGTATTGACTGTAATTTAGTTGTGAAGTCAGACCATCCATTTCAACCATTAGGCCTAACGTCACGAACCGGACTATGCGTGCGGGATTGTGGACCGACCTAAGTAACTACATGTAGTAATCAGTTACCAAGGATCGCGATTCTAGCCTGGATCAGTCAACATACATTAGCTTTTCCGAAGTTGCCGCTGCTATACCGTCGACCGGAGCTGCAGGTCCGGCTTCGAGTTCGCCACGGCCCGCCGAGACATAGCAAAGTGGGACCGGGCGCCGGACGGCTCCAAGACTTCTATGACGATGTTGTTGCGTCAATCTTTTCGACGTCACTAACTGGTCACCTAATATCCGAATTACAAACCACTTACTTCCCATATGAGATCTGAATGCACGTTGTATAAGATTCAAGAAGAAGACCGTCGCACTCACTAATTAGACTTAAAATTACCTTATAGACAAGATACCCCTGATCATCAACCGAAGACCACCACGCTAGAATTATACCCAAAGTACCTTGGAGAAGAGAAGAGAAACAGAAGCTCCTCAGACAATAGTAGAAGAGAGAAAAGGCTCACAAAACCACCGCCATGAGTTCACAAAGCTCAGTCTTTCAGCTAAGCGGCACATGCAACAACTACGACTGGGGCAAAAAGGGTCGCGACTCGCTCGCCGCACGCCTCTGCGAAAACACCCCAAGCGGCTTCACAATAAACGACAATGAAGCCTACTCAGAAATGTGGTTCGGCGACTACCCCGACTTTCCCGCACGCGTACTGGAGACAGGCGAGCTCCTCAAGGACGTCCTAGACAAGAACAAGGAAAAACTGCTCGGCAAAAAAGTCATCACCGAGCTCGACGGCCAGCTCCCCTACCTTCCCAAGATCCTGTCCATCGCAAAAGCCCTACCCCTCCAGATCCACCCAAACAAGTCTCTCGCCAGCAAGCTCCACGAGCAGGACCCCGAAAACTTCACCGACGCCAACCACAAGCCCGAGATTGCTGTGGCACTGGGTCCGTTTGAGGTCTTTGCCGGGTTCAAGCCTCTGGACCAGATCTCGCCCGTGTTCAACATCCCTGCCCTGCGCAACCTGATCCCCGATGGGACGACTAGGTGGACCGACGAGACATTACGGGAGGTCACGCGCCGCATTCTGCTCGCCGATGAAAACACTGTCGAAAAGGCCTCAAAGGCTCTCGGCGGCACCCCGCGCGAGGAGCTGGGCGGGAACGGCTACGTGCTGGATCTTCTGCCGCGTCTGCAGGATCAGTTTGGTAAAGGCGACAACGGCATCCTGGTTGCGCTGTTGTGTATGAATTTTTTGTCGCTGGAGGCTGGCGATGCGTTGTATATCCCTGCCGATGGCATTCATGCTTATCTGTCTGGGGACATTGTGGAGTGCATGGCTCGTTCGAACAACGTCCTCAATACGGGCTTCTGTCCGCCCGGCGACAGGAACAACATTGATTTGTTCAGCAAGACGTTGACTTTCAAGGCGCATAGTAAGAATGACGTGCTTTTACCTGCGGAGAAGAGTTCTCGTGGCACACAAGGACGTACGGTCGTGTATCCGCCGCCGTTGAGCGAGTTCGACATGCTGAAGACGGATTTGGACGAGGGCAGCAAGACGGAAGCTCTGAAGGCGGGTGAAGGACCCTCGGTTGCTATCGTCACTGACGGCGAGGGGGTTTTGGAGGCGGACGGGAAGAAATTTGACGTCAAGGCTGGTCATATCTACTTTCTTGCTCCCGGCATCGAGGCCAAGTGGGAAACCAAGGGGAAGATGCAGGTCTTTACGACTGTGGTCTAATCGGCCTGGCGGTCAGACTTTCAGTAGAGGATGCACAACAGATATCACATATTTAGAATCTGAGAAATGCGACCTGATGAGGCAATGGTCTGGGTTCTCTTCATCCTGTATGATAAGTACTTTGAAACAATGGCCGCTACAGCGATAGAATTGAACTGTTCCGGCTTGAGCGGAGTGACAATTCACATGTCTCGAAGTAAGAAAGATGAGCTGAATTTGATCGTAATGTCGAATGGTCAAGTAAATTTTGCTCTTCGAATTAGACTTACGTGCTATTGGAGTATCTATTCTAACATCATTCAAAAATAAGAGTATTACACTATGTCTCCCGGACGACTATAAACGCACATTCAATTTTCTGATGCATGCATGACCGCTTATGTTTCAATCCCGTGGTCGATGATCTCTCCGTCTCGCACTCTTGACGGCACTCTCAACCGCCAAAGGTAGATCGAGATGGAAGAACGGCCTGTTGATAGCCCCAACAGCCGCGAGGTGCCGAATTCCTCCCTCTTTGGACCCCAGAACACCCTGCTCCATAGCTGATGAGGAGGAAGACTGCTCGGAATCACTTGCCACACACGCCGTCTTCGACCCCGTTGTAACAAGTTGCTGCTCGCACATCATCGGCGGCCGCCCTGCCAAATCAGCCAGACTGAAAACCGGCTCCCACCCCTCCAAATGACCCGTCCTCGGACACCCAAACCCAGACACCGACAGCGCGCGCCGCGTCCACCGGTTATGAACACCAGCAAAGTGCCACTCCACTGGCTCCGGTGCCGCCCACCTATCGAGTTGGTTCCGCAGGTCAATCAAGCCCTCCACGGCGCCCGAGTCCATGTTATTCACGGCAGCGCAGTCGAATATGACGGCCCGGAGGATCGGCTTCAGCAATGATGGGGACTCGTTATCGGTTTCAACTGTCGAAAGTGGCGGAACGGGCTCGTTCCAGGGGCGGTCGCCTGGGTGGTCGTAGTGTGGTGTCGTCGTGCGGCGGGTGGAGTGCGTGACGTGCTCGATCAAGCGGTCAACGTACTGCGCTTGGTTCAGGTAGTTGAAGCCCTCGGTGAAGCGGTAGATAAACACCCCTGGGTAGAGCTCATTGACTTGAACAGCTGGGTTGGTGCCGTCTTTGCGATCTAGCGGGAGGAACACGTCGTGTGATGCCGGGAGACGCGGCGACGGAGGGGCTTTGCCGTGGAAGAGGGTCTGCGAGCTGCTGATGGAGTGGTGGTCCGAGTCTTTGTGGTCGAGGGTGGTGCTGGTGCGGTGGTCCGGGTGCTGGTAGATGCGCGCGGCGCCGAGGAAACGGCCTTTGGAGCGGGCGAGGCGGAGGAGGAGAAGGGCTGCAGAGAGGGCTACTGTGACGTAGATGCCGTCTTCGAGGCTGGTGAAGATGGAGACGAAGACGCCAATGAAGTAGATGAAGACGTCAGGCGGTGACATGAGCCATGACTTGAAGATGTGGTCTGGAGAGGTTATGAGGTTGATCACGGCGTGGATGATGAGAGCTGCTAGGCTGGCCATGGGGATGTAATAGAGTACTGAGGTGAGAGCGTATAACGCGAGGAGGAGAATCGCTCCGTTGAAGACGCCGGCCATTGGTGTTCTCACTCCGGCTTTTGAGAGAATTGCGGTGCCGCCGAAGGAGCCTGTCGAAGAGTATGCGCCTAAGAAGGGGCCGAATAGGTTGGTGCATCCGATTGAGATAAGTTCCTGAGATGGCTGGACAGTATAGTTGTTGATGCGACCAAAGGACTTGCCGATAGCAATGTGCTCAATGACAAGAATGATGACCGTAGCCGGTAGATCTGGCAGCAGCGCCGAGATCAGCTTTGTATTTAAAGAAGGCGGGCCAGCGTGTGTGAAGCCTTTGGGCAGTGTCCCTGTTATACGGAACTTGTGCTCCCCGTTCTCTAGCCCACGGTTCACCAAAAAGCTGATAAGTGTGTATAGCAAGATAGTAAAAGTCATGCGCAGCGAGCAGAGCATCTCCCACATACGCTTCCGCTTAGGCTGCGACCTGGCCATGCGCTCCGTGTACCACTTGATGGCAGCCAGCAGCACCAGAGCCGTCAGCCCGATGGCGGCATCGAGCTTAACGCGGGGCAGACCACGGGCCGTGTTGATGAAGACGCGATAAGCGGCCTCTTTGGAGTTGACGCCGTCGATGCCGAGGAGGGATGGAATCTGGCTGAGGGTGATTGTGATGGCGGCGCCGGTGACGAATGCGGAGATGGCAACGTGGGGGATGAACTCGATGATCCAGTCGAGGCGGAGAAGACCGAAGACGAGGAGGACGGCACCGGCAAGGAAGGCAAGGGTTTTGGAAATTTCTTCTGGTTGGAATTCGCCAGGGTGTTCTTCGAGGACTTTGGCGCTGACTTTGCCGACGAGGAGGGAGACGACGGCGGTTGCCTGTTATACAGTCAGTATGAAATTGTCACAAGGATGTGACACTATGAGCATCTTACTCCTATCGCAATATCCTTGGAGGTTCCGAATATCCAGTAAAGAGCTGCACCAGTGAATGATGTGTAAAGTCCATATTCAGGACTTAGGCGGGCGAGGAGGGCATAGGCCATAGCTTGTGGGATGACGACGAGACCAAGTGTGACACCTAAGTAAGGGATTGTTAGTTGATGCCGCCAAGTTGCCTGGCCTGGAACTCCGGAAGTGCTTACCCGCAATAGCATCTGAGATGAGCCAGCGAGTGTTGTATCTCAAAATCCATTTCGTGAAGGGAAATAGGCTTTTGACATAACGAGCTGATCCTTCTTTTGTTGGTACTTGCTCCAACAGCCACTCCTTTACTGTGGGATCCTCTTCATAGTACGGTTCGTATGGAGAAATGGCGTTGACAACGTGGTCGTGGAGTTCTTGTGTCTGGTGGCG